TGTATGTATGTATGTATGTTTGTTTGTTTGTTTGTTTGTTTGTTTGTTTGTTTGTTTGTATGTATGTTTGTTTGTTTGTATGTTTATTTGTTTGTGTGCATGTGTGGATGTGGTATTGTATTATTTTACATCTTTATGTACTTTGTACCCTGATTTTTTTCTTCTGTCTTTCCATAATTATTTTTCTTTGCTTGCAGTCTCAACTAAGTTAATAAAGCTAAATTGAAAGTAAAGATTTTGGTTTTGTATGTGTGTCTGTATGCGTTTGCATGTGTGTTTGTGTGTTTGCATGTATGTGTGTATATAAGCGTGTGTGTGTGTGTGTGTGTGTGTGTGTGTTTTATCGGTTATTTATATATGTATATAGGTTTGTGTGTGTTGTGTGTGTGTGTGTGTTTTGGTAGTAAACAAATTGAACAATAATTTGATTTGAATAGTTTGAAATGTAATGTGAAATGCTTGCTTAATCAAATCAATAAATAAGTTAATGTTTGACTTTCATTGCTCATACACACACACACACACACACAAACAGACGTACATACAAACGTACATATAAACACGCATACATGCATACATATATACATACATACAAACAAACATACAAACTTTTAAGCAGTTAAAAATAGGGCACTTAAATGTAAAGTGTGAATATATCTATGACCATGTTTATGCTAGTAACTTCAGCTTGTATGTGTTTGTATGTATTATCATCGTTATCATTTCTATTTATATTTTTATTGTTGTTATTATTATTATATTATCATTATCATCATCGTCATCATCATCTTTCTATTTTTATCTCTGGTTCATGACTCATGCCTAATTTATTTGGGAGGGGTGTGTTGAAGTTTTTTTCCCATTTGTTGTTGTTATTGTTGTTATTGTCATCGTTGTTGTTGTTGTCGTTGTTGTTGTTGTTATTGTTGTTGTTGTTGTCATTGTTGTTGTCATTGTTGTTGTTGTTGTTGTTATTGTTGTTGTTGTTGTTGTTGTTGTTGTTATTGTTGTTGTTGTTGTCGTTGCTGTTGTTCGTTTTCTCTAGCACTGAGTGAGTGAAGAGATCGCTTAAGTATGCAGTCAAAATGGTATTATTGTAGAATTAAAAGAAGAAGCATGATTCTCCGTCAATAATAATAATAATAATAATAATAATAATAATAATATAAACAATATAGCATAAAAAGGAATGTTATTATTATTAACCTATAATTAAGATTGCGGGTTGATTGTGTAAGGATGCGTTGTATATGTTATTTCTCCACTTAAATATGTGCTGGCATGTTTGTTTGTTTGTTTGTGTGTGTGTGTGTGTGTGTGTGTGTGTGTGTGTGTGATTCTATATACAATACATTAATGTACTTATGAATAAACATATAAAAATATACATGAAATATCGCTAAAGACTTCTATTTTTTAATGAATAAAAAACCGTTAAAAACATTTTTGGATGGTATGTATGTATATGTGTATGTATGTATGTTTGTATGTATGTATGTGTGTATGTATGTATGTTTGTATGAATGTGTGTATGTGTGTGTAAAATAAAACATACAACATGAGCTAATCGTTTGGTTATGTAAACATTTGAAAACTAAACAAATAAATATACTATTAAAAATGAATTTGGTATGTGTATATATAGTTGATGTTTGTTTGTATGTGTGTATGCATGTATGTATGCACGTATGTATGTATGTGTGTGTGTCTAGGTATAGACATAAATAATCATTGAGCTTTGCAAAGAATAGCACAATAGCACGCACATACACACATACATATTTTAACACATACATACACACATACATACATGCAAACATACATACATGACAATAGGTCCACAAATCAATCTATTGGTTAAATACGTCAAGCCACAAAATCGGTAGGTAGAGATACAATGAGATTATTAGTACATGCTTTCGTCAACTCCAGATTGGACTATTTTAACAGTTTTTTATATGGTATAGGTGATAAACTGTTGTCTAAACTTCAGATGGTTCAGAACCAGGCTGCTAGAATGATATGCCGCAAATTAAAATTTGATCGTGCATCACCAATTCTAAAGGAGTTGCATTGGCTGCGTGTTAGACAAAGAAATCATGTTCAAGTTGGGTGTAATGGTATTTAGGTATTTAAAAGTTTTAATGGTTTGGCTCCAAGATATTTAGAAGATAAATGGATTATAGTTTCATCTACGTCATCACGTGGGGGTCTAAGGAGGTCTGCTGATTCAAACACGCTGTATGCATGTTAGAGATTGGGATCTGATCTGAAGACAGCAGATGGAGATTTTGCAGTTGCTTGACCTGTTTTCTGGAACAGCCTTCCTATCGAACTACGTTCCTCTGGGTTATCATTAGCTGAGTTTAGAAGATGTCTAAAGACACACCCATCTGGTAACTTCTAGTGATCATGATCCTAGATGATGGCCTTGCTTTCAACATGCTATCCATTAGCTATTAGCAATTTATAGGGGGAGGAGAGCGCTGGTGAGAAGCAATTATAATTGGCGCTATATAAATTCAAAATTCAATTCAATACATACACACACACACGCACACATACATACATACATACATATTCTAGATGTTTCTATTTTTTGTTTATTTATTTATATT